GAAGTGTTTAATAAGGTAAACAAATAAATATTAAGCTTTTTTTTATAAATGTTAATACCCTTTACATCATAAATACTTTATTATATCATAAATCATTATTTCATATTTTTAATTTCATAATTTCTACATGCCATCGTACCAGATTTAAACTGATGATCTATTATCTGGAATCGCCGAAGTCTGATGAGTCTGGATTTTGGACTTTGTACTGTAGTATGAAATAACCACCTTCTAGGTCGGCATCACATCTCATACATTTACTATTTTTGTGCCCTTATGGTTGGCACTGCACGGCATGCGACGAAGAGGAAAATTTCATCATTGAATTCATTGCTACATACTCATCTCTTTAAATTCCATAATTATTTTTATGATTTTGAATATTGCTAAGAGATGACACTACTACAGTCAAAAGTCTTGAATCCGGACTCGTCGGGACTTCGGATTATCGATTTTTCCAGATTATAGATCATCAGTTTAAATCTGGTAAGATGGCATGCAGAAATTATAAAATTAAAAATATGAAACCGTAATTTATAAAATAATGAGCAATTATGATCTAAAGGGCATCCAAATTTATCAAAAAAGAAGCCTAATATTTATTTTTTTACTTTATTAAACATTTCTTTTAACGCGCGAATGCGTAAAGCATACCTTACTCATAGCCGAAATTAGAAAATTGCAACCAGAAAACTATTTGATTTGTATTCGTGATATTTATAATGACGAGGAATTTGATTTAAATCATATCAAAGACGGAAGTACATCGAAATTAAATACTACATTTAGTAAGGAATTATAAGCCGAAATAAAATAAAAACATCTGCCCTGAAGATAACGATAGTGTTGACAAATCAACTTCCAGTTCATTGCGCGCCGCGACGTGCCCCCCCCCCCGCGCAGAGCAGCGTGAAATTGATAAACAGATTTCGGAACGGTTAGATAAACAAAGGAATATGCCTTTATCCATTTTTTGTAGCAATTCGTTTTTTGTTTGATGGACATCGAAACATACTTTCGTTTTCTAGATCCTTGGGAGCTCCAGCATCGGAAATTCTATTTGACATAATCGAAAGTTCAAGCTTACTTTTAGAAAATTGCTCTTACAGTCTGCAAAAAAATAATAAGCCGGATCCAATTCGAAGATTAAGGAACAACGCAATCATCAACATTAACTGAAATAGATAATTAGATAATTTTAGCTTATACCGTCCGTTATACATTAAACGCGCACGCGAAAACGTATTCTGCACTTGCGCAGATGCATATGCGCAGTCGTAAATGTCTTGGGCGCACGAGTAAAACGCCTATGCGCATGCGTCAATGCGGCGCATGCGCAGAAAGATTTTAGCTTTGAGGTCCGGATTATAGATCATTCCGGATTACGGGTGTCCGAATTAACGACTTTTGACTGTACTTTCTTCATAGTTTTTGCAGTGAGATTTCCGGCTTTGAATTGGAATTGAAATCTTTTTGTACTTTCTGTTATTTCATTTCATTTATGTTATTTTTACATGCCAAAATAGCTTTTATGATGGATTCAGAAAGCGAGTTCAAGGACAATTAATTTAATATCTCTGATTTGGAAAATGATAGTTCTGATTTATTAAGAGATTATATTTATTCAGAGTCTAGTGAATCGGAAAATGATAGTACTGATTTACCGAGAGATAATATTTATTCAGAGTCTATTGAATCGGAAGGTGGTGATATATGGCTTCATTAAGGATGTATATCGAAGAAAAAGTAGTGCATTCTGCTCTTTCTCGTTTCAGTTTAACAGAGCACCCTGGAATTTTGGTAATTTTTAGTAATGATAATTTTATTCAATATTTTGAGTAGTTTTTTGTAACGATTCTATGTTGCAGTTGATTGTGAATGAAACTAATATACAGTCAAAAGTCGTTAATCCGGACTCGTTGGGACTTCGGCGATTCGGGATTATCGATTTTTCCGGATTATAGATCATCAGTTTAAATCTCGTAAGATGGCATGCAGAAATTCTAAATTAAAAATATGAAATCGTAATTTATGAAATAAAGAACAATTATGATCTAAAGGGTATCAAATTTGCAAAAAAAGAAAAAGCTTAATATTTATTGTTTACTTTATTAAACATTTCTTTCAATGGTAAGTTGTTTAAGTTGCTTCATTTTATGTGATAATTTTTCTCTTTAATTCTATAAACAGACATAATTCTTGTTTCAGTTACAAAGTTCCGCTGTTCAAGTCCCGTTAATTGCTGTGCCGAGAATACCGACTAACTTGTCAATCGAAATTTTTTCATTTTCACTAACCTCTCTGTCCCTTCTTCATGTCTTTATCCTTTTTTGCAGCAATTCCACTTTTGTTTGATGGCCATCGAAACATACTTTCGTTTTGTAGATCCTTTGGGAGCTCCAGCACCGGAAATTCTATTTGACATAATCGAAAGTTCAAGTTTACTTTTATAAAATTGCTTTTACAGTCTGCAAAAAATAATAAGCGGGATCCAATTCGAAGATTAAGGAACAACGCAATCATCAACATTAACATAAATTAGATAATTTAGCTTATACCGTCCGTTATACATAAAACGCGCACGCGAAAACGTATTCTGCGCTTGCGCACAAGCATATGCGCAGTCGTAAAGGTCTTACAAGCATGCGAAAATGCCTATGCGCATGTGTCAACGTGGCGCATGCGCGGAACGTTTTTAGCTTTGAGGTCCGGATTATAGATCATTCTAGATTATGGGTGTCCGAATTAACGACTTTTGACTGTATATGCTAAATAATGTCTTCATTCCCCCCCAAAAAAAAATCACCCAAAGCAGTGGGAATGGGGTTAAACTTACAAAGAAGAGGTCACATTTTTATTTTGTATTTGGATAATGCAGGGCATAATAAAAAAAAGCCAGTTAACAATGGTATTGGTCAGATGATGAAAGATTATGCACTCCTTTCTTTAGGAATCTGACGTCATACAGGTGATACCACAACTTGAAGCAATATCTGCACTTTTCTAACAATGAAAATTGTGATTCTCATGCACATCCTAATGCAAGACTGAATAAAATCTGGCCAGTTTATTCAAAAATTGTTATCTTTTAAAGGTTGTATTTATTTATTTATGACAAAGCACACGAGGGCTATCTTCCTAAGGGGAGGGATGCCTTCGTGGAGGGACTTTCTAAGGGAAACTGGCTCGTATACACGTTACACATAAAGAAAACTACAAAAATGCCCATGCAGCCAGCCCGTTCGCGGGATTCGAACCTCGGACCGAACTAACAGTGTTCAGCGACTTAACCGCTCGGTCGCTGGTGGGCTCTTTTAAAGGGTGACTTTCTTGGAAACAGTACTTACCTTTGAAAAGTGCCGGATATATATTTTATGTGAGGCAAAAAGTGGATACATTTGGTTGACAATAATTTTTACTGAAAAAGAAATACTTTTTGATGAAGAGTTTTTGAAGCCGGAATATTATAAATGTACACAAGTGGTTCTGACACTAATGAAGCCTTTAATGTATAAGAGATATTGTATAATACTGGATAATTATAATTATATTCTAGTTTTAACTAATGTGCTTGTGTTATTATTATCATGTCCAAAAGTTAGTGCATAAGGTCAAGTAGGGCCAAAAGTACTTTAAAACAGTGCCAGCAATGTCCACGATCTTCAAGGAATATAGGAGCTGGTACTTTTAGGGAGGGAGACAAAATCAGTTCAACTGACTGATACACTTGTCAGGTACAAAACTGATTCTCTTGGGATGATCAGTCTCAACAAAAGAGAAGTTTCTAATTATGTTAAGGCTAAAAAACTCAAGAAAGGTGACATTATAGCATTTCGACATGGGAAAGCTGTCATTTTAAAATAGAAAAATAAAAAAATATGTGTCTAGTGGAATCGTCTATAGAAGAAAAGCTGAAGCTGAAAATGGTAGTCAACTATAATGACACCTTGGATGATGTTGATTGTGCCGACCCAAAATTTAACATCTTATGCCATCCCAAGGAAATATGGGAAAAAGTATTACAAAAAAATACTTTTTTATTAATTTAATCAATGCATTTGGAATTCTTATGTCCTATATAAGAAAAACGGTGGAGTTCTATAATGTATCTTCAGTTTTGACTAGATTTGGTAAATGAAGCAAAGTTATAAAGTACTACTCGGAATCAATGTGCAGCAAAAAAGATAGGCCATCAATAAAAACACCACTCCAGCTGACTGAGAGACATTTCATAAAATTTATTCCTCCAACTTAAAAGGGGGGGGAAGAAAACTCCATAAGAAAATGTGCCATCTGTAGCAACAAGCGAAACAGTGAAGGTAAAAGGATAAGAAAAGAAACAAGGTGCAGTTGTGAAAAGTGTGATGTGGGATTTTGCACTGTTCCATGGTTTGAAACTTTTCACATGCAGCATGATATCTGTTAGAATTTCCACTAAAAAATTATTCAAGATATTTTTGATATTCATAGCCATATTTTGTTTTGACAAAGTAAGCAAAAAATTCAGTTTTGTGATAAGTGTGGTTTTTATGCTGTGATGTCCAAAGCAGATTGTAAAGTGGTAAGGTTTGGAAAATAATTTTTCAAGACATTTTTTATGTAATTCTAATAATTATTATTATGTAGCTTTTATCTTAAACACATCAAAATTGTAAAGTTAATAAATATAGTATCAGGTTGCATTTTTTTAAATTTAAAACTTGGGTGCATTGCGAAAAAAACTGGTGATCAGCGGAAGGGATATCACATATTTGACAATTCACAGGTTCAGGGAAAAAATTCTGCTTACTGTCAAAAATATTTTGCATTTTTGAATTTAGGATAAAACACATATTAATTTTTATCATTAAAATAATGCTTTTTTATGTCAGAAATTTGAAAAAAATATCAGACCATGAAGGGGGTAAAATGTCATTGACCATATTTAGATATGTTTAATTACTCTGTGTCTGCCTTATACATATTTCTTGGGAATTAAAATTGTATTTTTTCTGTTCTAGATGCCTTCAAGTATAAATGCCAGCCCAAAGCAGTAGACTTGCAAGAATCATGTGCAGAAAATGTTTCACTGAACAGCATTCGTGTTCCGGAAGTTTCCCGTCATGATAGCACCAATATTTGCATTACTGGTTTAAAACATAAGATATTACCTGATCCTCCAAAGCTGATATATGGAACCAGTCTTGCTAATTGTGAAGTAACAGCAAATTTTAGGTTAAATTCAACAAATGACTTTATAAATAATGATGTTCCACCTCCTTTACCTCCTCCCAGAGGAACTGTATGCCCTCCACCAACACCTCCTAGGAGTACACCTCCTTTACCTCCAACTAATTCAGCAGTTATCAGTTCTCAGACAGCAGAACTTGCACATTCAGCTACCAATGGTGTAAATACCCATAAACAACAGTATATGAGACGCATGTCACCGGTGCCAACGTCTTCAAGACAAGCTCTCAATTATACTTCTTCTGCTAGTTCCACTCCACAGCGTGGTACAAGTCCAATAACTTCAAATCGTGCTCCAATGGTTGTAATGAACAATTCACAGATCCACCAGCAATTAGCTCAGCAACTGCAAGCTTTATCTGTCAGTGCAAATGGGTCATCTATTTCTTCTTCATCTAGAACTGATAGCTCACATCTCACCAGTAGCTCTCAAAATGGTAAATCTTGGTATTCGTCATCTCCACAACCTTCTTATGCTTCATCAAGTTCTGGAAGGCACAGTCCAACTCCAACTATTAGCAGCAGTGAATATTCTATACCTCCTGTTTTTCAACTGAAGCGAACTCCCCCTCCTGCTTATACTCCACCATCTTCATATTCATCTTCTCCACAGCCTTCTCCCCAGCATAGAGCTCCATCTCCAGGTGCAGTTGCTGCAAGCGCTGTAACTTCAGTACTTTCTCGTCCTTCTGCACTTCAGGCATGGAGTTCAAGGCAAGCCAAATCACAGTCTCCAATAATCATGCAATCTGTAAAAAGCACCCAAGTTCAGAAACCTGTTCTTCAAACTGCTGTGGCTCCTACTTCACCACAACCATCTTGTACTGTATCTCCTGCTTTTGCTACAGGTTGTCAACAGCCAGTTGTCTCTAATCCACCTCCTCCTTATCCAATACATAAAGTGACTTCTGCTGTTAGTATAAATTCTACTCTATCATCTCAAGATGGCAACTGCTTGTTGCTTCCACCAGTAACCTCAGTAACTTCTCCTTTGCGAGCTTTAGATTCTCCAAACCCTCCTCCTCTGTATCCACGAAATCAAAATAAATCTCATGCAACATCTGTAAACCATCTTTCAGATCCTCCTCCATATCCTGTTGTTCCAAGTATGCCTCAATCTGGAGTACCAACATCTCCAGCACCAACTCCATATTCTAATCCAGTGTGGCAGGCTTTATCTAGCTCGACTCAGAATATTTCTAATCAGCCTCCTTTATATCTGTCTGCTCAATGCAATCAGAAACCTGTCAGTGATACACCTGTAACAGAACCTTTGCAGACACTATATACACCTTTAGAAAATCATCAAAGTAAATGGCCTGAACAGTGTAATAATCTTCCTCCAGATATATCACAACTTGATAATTGTCCTTTGTCTAATGTTCCCACAACAGATCCACCTAGTTATGCATCTAGCATGGCTGCTCTCACAGCCCAAAGAGCTGCTGCAGCTCTAATGACAAAGCTCAATAATAATGTGCCAACTATTATTAACAATGGGCCATCAACTGGTGCTTTCACAAGTGGGTCTTCTTTGATAAATCCGTGCATTGATCCTGTTCTAAGTAGTGTGGGAAGTGGGACAAAAGCCACTTCTAATCTTGTAAATACAGTAGATAGCATTTGTACATCTCAAATAACAGCCTTACCTGGATCATATGTTAATATCAATAATGCAAATATAAATGGTATCCCTGAAGATGCCTTTTCATTTTTTGACAATCATCACACAGCTTTTCACCGTAAGCCATCTCCTGTGGCAATGGACACTGCTAGTTCTGCATCTCGGTCAGAATCTCCTGTTTCTAGAGCTGTAAATCAATCCCCTGTATCCTTTATGTCAACAACCTCTACATCATCACCGTCCACGCAATCTGATTCAACTCATGATTCTAATAATAAATTAATGCTTCATAAAGTTACTCATCAGTCTCCGCCTCCTCCTAGAAAAATGCTCTCCAAGGAAAAAGAAAAGGAACGTCGTGAAAGTAAAGTACGAAATTATTCTCCTGCAGCATTTAAATTTTATATGGAACAGCATGTAGAAAATTTACTCAAATCGCATCAAGAGAGAGAACAAAGACGCCAACAGCTTGAAACTGAAATGGCTAAAGTTGGCCTTACTAAGGAAGCGCAATGTGAAATTAGAAAAATGCTGCATCAAAAAGAATCAAATTATATTAGATTAAAGCGGGCAAAAATGAATAAATCTATGTTTACAAAAATAAAAACTATTGGCATTGGTGCTTTTGGAGAAGTTGCTTTGGTGCGGAAGGTAGATGCCAATCAGTTATATGCAATGAAGACGTTGCGGAAATCAGATGTTTTAAAAAGGAATCAGGTAGCACATGTAAAAGCAGAAAGAGACATTTTAGCTGAAGCAGACAATGAGTGGGTTGTCAAACTCTACTACTCTTTTCAGGATGATGAGAATCTATATTTTGTGATGGATTTTATACAAGGTGGAGATCTGATGTCATTACTAATAAAATTAGGTGTCTTCTCAGAGAAACTGGCTAAGTTCTACATAGCTGAACTTGTGTTGGCTGTTGAAAGTGTTCACAAAATGGGGTTCATACACAGAGACATTAAGCCTGATAATATACTCATTGATCGTGATGGTCACATTAAACTAACTGATTTTGGACTTTGTACAGGTTTCAGGTGGACCCACAACTCCAAATATTACCAAAGAAATGGTAAGAAATACTAATGAATACTGGTAATTAATGAATGTTTGTGGATTCTTATGCATTTATTATGAAAAAATTGATGATACTTATAAAATATTATATGAAATATATTTATTGGCTTATTATTATAAATGTTATTGCAGGTATCCAAAATTAAATGCATACAAGTATCCATCTTGTATAGTTTTGATATTTTTCAATTATAGTATTTATTAGCAGATTCCCCCGGTTCCACCCTTAATGATAGATAAAATTTGCCATTTTGGGTGGGAAGAGAGCAAATCATTTTCATTCTAAAATCATTATGTAGTAATTGTATATAGTAAATCGATAAAATATAATTGTATAATGTAAATCAATAAATAACCATATATTTGATAGATATACAGTCATTTAAGTTTTTGATATAATTTCTTGTTAAATGTGAAGTGGAGAGGAAATAGCATTTAATATTTTTCTTTGATATGAATACCACCATATGATACTAGTCTTTAGAAATAAAACTAGGTTGAGTCTACAATGAATCCTAATTAATCTGAATTTTTATTTTTATTTTATTTATTTATTATTATGTTTAGAAATGTTCTAATTTGAATAACAATCAGTTTTTAGTGGAATTAGTTATACATTGATTTAATTGATTTTCAAAATTATAACTTATCTTTCTGTAATAAATATTAAAGTCTACTGTGTAATAGTTTATTTGTAAAACCGAGTTCTTTCTTTCTTTCTTTCTTTTTTTTTTTTTTTTTAAATATGGTGAAGTAAGTTTCAAGACACTATCATTTTTATGTGAAGATACCACTGCTGTTCTGAATAACATTTTGTGCTGTAGTTCTGTACATTTGCAGTGTGTTGCAGTATTTGATTTTATGAAGGGCAAACAAATAATTATGTATTGGTGCTTTTCAAAATTAAGTTTATTTGTAATTATAGATCAGTTAATTTGGAAATACAGGTTCTTGTAGCTCTTCCAGTTCTCATTGTTTTTGTCAGTAGTCTTTTTATAATATTTTTAATTATTGTCTCAGAATCCAATATTTACTAGCTGTTTGCAAGTTTTAGCAGCATAGAGATAGAATGTCCAACAGTTGTTTTTAATCCAGTCATGAAAATCATGTGGTTTTTAATACCTTAGCCAGAAGTGATTTTTTTCTTTTAAACAACAGCCCTTTTTAGTGATCACTTACTTTACTTATGACATCTGAGAACATTATTGCTTGCATATAAAGAGCAAAACTTGTCTGGGAAAACATGTAATTTGCTTAGTTAAAGGAGAGAATTGCTTTTAGTAGCCCATGAAATAATCTGTTGTGGCTTGAACTTAAAAATATGTATACAATAAAAATGTATGCAATTACAATTTTGATTTGGAAGTTATGTAAATAGATGATGATCATAGTAACTAGAGCTTCTTATTTCGTTTTCAATACCAGTTGGCACTTCTGCATTGCTTTGAACGTTGTCTGTATTTTAGACATATCTGACTGAAGAGTTATGTTGATACTTTCGTACCAAATGTTTTTGTAAATGTGCATTCTTGGTACATTTAGCATAACATTTAGCGTTCAAACATGATAATTTATGCATCAAGAATTTCCATGCATTTCTGACAAGTAATACATCAAAGTCAAGGAAGTAAGTTAAAACAAGAATGGTATGTGGTAAAAAGTAAAGGAGTAAACATCTCTTAATTAACCCCTTCACCACAGATGTAATATATGTGCATCAGTACTTCACATAGAGCTGTAATGTACTAGAGAGAGAAACGGCAACCCTGTAGGGGAACAGGAATACGAACCAGGTGACATTTGGTACATTTCCCAGATCGTATTTCCCGCGAATCTTCCTTACCATTACAGTTCTATGGAGAATTTGTGAGAAGCAAGTGTTTTGCGTGTAAGCGCATTGTTTCGGACTTCAAAAATGATACTTTCATGCTCTGCATATGGATGTAATTCCAGATATGTGAAAGATGGAGGAGTAACATTTCACAACTGAGCTTTTTCTAATGTTTTAAAACCTAATTTTATAAAATGTAGAGGTTTTTTTATCCACTCTACTTGCCTTTTTCTAATAAAAAATAGATTTTCTAATTTTATAATATATGCATACTTGAAATAACATTTAAATAAAAGTACCTTAATATATATGTATGTTTCTAATAACTGTTTTCTGAAAAAAATGTTAAAATTTTAGTAATACAATATAATTTTAATTAGTCTAGTATTCTGCTTTGGCGACATTTTTTATACGCCAACAGACTGCTTTGAATGCGTTTGTTTATATATTCTTTGCGTTTGCTCATGCGGACATGTGCGAAGTAGTAATGTATGTATTTAATACTTGGTAATGTTGATGTAACACTGTGTAAGAACTGCATAAAATTATGTTTTTTTTTTGGGGGGGGGGACATGAATAACTTTATTTATATCCTTTTCTTGCATCCAAATATAACAAATTTGTTTACCTTCAATCACGTATTTTCTTTCTTATATCATGTTTCTGGCATTTATTCAAATATTAATAATTTGTTAAGTATTAAGAAAATAGTCAATTATATAGCAGTTAAATTTCAAAACTTTAATAGTTTTAAATTTCTTTTTAAAAATAATGAACATTATTTAAATTTTATCCTTCTAAAATTATTTAAAATAAGTGCGACTACATTGTGCAACGTGCATAATATATATATATATATATTTGCTAGTAAAAGGAAGTCTTAATTTACCACCTTTTTTGTTTCATAATTTAATTATTTACCACTCTCTCTCTTCCTTTTCCTTTTAACTTGTATTTGCTATATATTGACATTCATTTTTAGTTCATTTTAATTTAATATCTTTCTCACTTTGATTTGCCTACTCTGTAGTTCTCTGTAATACACCGTATTAACACTTAAATTTCCTTTTCGTATTAACATTAAATTTCCTTTTCGTATTAATATTAAATTTTCCTTTTTGTACTATTTTCTGTTTTCACTCATTCTTCTTATGTTATCTATTTTTTTTATTTTTTATTCTGTCCTGGAGTACTAAAAAGCCTTCTTTTTTTATTTATTTATTTTACTTATTATTTTTTTAGTTTGCTATTAGTTTATTATTTATTATTTAGTTTTTATTATTTAGTTATTAGTTTATTATTTAGTTTGTTCTCTCCAGTTTTTTTAATTTTATTTTAAATTTGGTAGACGCCGATAGACATATTGCAAAATATTATTCTACAGCATGAAAATTATTTAAATTTTAAAAATTAAAATTTAAAAATAAAGTTAAATTTTAAAATAAAGTGTTCAATTTTAGGGAAATTATTAATTTTGGGCTGGTGTTTTATCGATCTAACCTCTTCTGGCAAATTCAACGGCAAGCAGCTTCTGCGAAATGACGTCTTTCCAAGTTCGCATTTCGAACTGAGAGAAAAGAGGGGAAAAAATCGCCAGCCATGGCGATAGTACGCCAAAATCTGGATTCAGTTCCATTTCATGCCCAAACTCCTGCAGCTCATTCCTGTGCCACTTTTTCACCCGGTTTTGAATGGCGATGCTCCGTCTAGTATATAACAGGTCTATGGTACTTCATCCTCCTGTGCAACAGCATGCTGCTTAGCGCAACTCACCTTGGAGACGGTGTGTTGTTGCATGTTGCAATAGTACGATCTGGCAGGATGGGAATATTTCATGCATCTAAGCATAACTAAAAATGCATACATATCTTTTTACAAGATATGTAAAAAATAATAAAATATATGATTAAATATTGTAGCATAAATGATTGAGAAAGGAGACAGTGCATGATAATCTAGATGCTAGCTTTTCATTGGTTGTGAAATAGTGTTTGAGGTCAGGCCTTTTTAATTATTTCCAGCAGAATAATTAATCCTAGGAATCCCCTCATTTTAGGCACATCTACAGGAGTGTGTTGATTTTGCATGAAGATGAATTTTCACTCGTCTTTTATTCATTAGTTATTAGTTTCTTCAGCTATTATGTTCATTAGGTCATCATTGAACAAAAAATGGTGAAAAAAATCAACTTTATTTACATAACTTTAAACTAAATTTACTTCTGCAATTTCCAGAAATTCACAAGGCTTCAAAGGTCGAGTTCATGACGTAGTGATTGAGAATCTAAACTCTGAGAACTGAAACTTTTCTAACTCAAACTAAAACCGTACTCTTCGTGAGCTTCCATGTTGAATAACTAAGCATCTTAGCATCTCTATACTGCATGGACATGATTTCTCTGTGCTCGTTTCCTATCGCAACAGTAAACGTTCTTGAATAGGCATGATTAGAGTGCCAAGTGATTGTGGCCACAAATGTCAACTGGAAATAAAAATGGAATTAAAACTGCCTCGACTGCCAAGTTTCTTAGTCTTTACGAATTCTACATTCTAAATATCAAGTATCTTCGCAATCAGCATTTCTATATCTCAAGTGTTCCTAGATCAATACTTCTCTGTTTCAGAGTAAGTTTCTCATATCAGAGGGCTCTAGAATGCATTCTGTTGGTCCAAATGAGATAAAATTTGAACTACAGATAATTCAAATGATCCATTTAAAATTTATTAAATAAAAAAATTTAGTAAGAAAATCCACCATTAGGTGGCACTGGTACACACAGATGGTATTTATTTGCATATATTGAAAATCTGAAATATCATTTGCATTACATTGCATACCTGTTAGCAGTATTCTTTGGGTAAGAAGAAGGCGGATTCTGCATGAGCATTAGTTACTTTTCTACGCATGCCTATGTTGCAAAAAAAAGTGCTACCGGTAAATTTGTTCTCCCAGAAGCAACAGAACTCCTTTGGAGCTGTAAAAGAATTATGTTTTATGAAGCAGATATGAAGAGTTCCAATGTCTCCATATGCCCTACACCAGATGATAAAGAAATTTGAAACAACTGGGCGGCTTAGCATACGTTCAGGTAGAAGACCTAAGAAAATCCAATCTTCTAAGCAGTGAAAATGTGGCTACCCAGGTATGGGGTTCATGGTTGCTCG